TCTGTTCCCTTCTGCCTTGTGATCTAATACCAGCTGATTTTTTTTCCTTGCACACATGAAGAAGTCTGAGGGAAGAGAAAGCTAAGTTAAACTGTACCAAAATTAGAGCTGTAAATTGCTTATTTAGGCAAAGAATCAGAAAGAGTAACGGGATACTCTGGAAAGTCACTGACACTTTCTAGGCAGGGGGTTCACTTTGAGTAGAGCAGCAAAAAGCAGGAGGATTTCTTAACAAAGCAGCCACCCCAGTTGTGGGCTCTTGGACCAAACCAGTGACTATTGACAGATCGTGTCTTGGACAGAGGGATATGAGGATCACTGACAATACTGAGGTGTGGCAGAGAATGTACCTGCTCTTGAGCAATGATAAATGGAGAGGTGGAACAGACAAATGGGCAAGAAGCCTTAAGGGTACATACTGAAGTGTAAACAAACTACTCAAAGGGCATAATGGCAAGTCATCTTTTAGAACAGAAGGAATGGCTTTTGGAGGGCTGGAGAGATGGCTCAGTGGTTAAGAGCATGTACTGCTTTTGCAGAATACTTACTTGAGTTTGGTTCCCAGCACTCATGATGTTACGGAGTTCAAGACTACCAAGAAAGACTACCCAGACTCAAAAAGTTCCAAATCAGCTGAATTAAGCTTTTACAATTTTATTAGAATTTTAAAGAAAAAGAAATCCTCAGGACAGGCAAGCTGGCAATCTTGGCAGCTGCCTTGAGGAGGTGAATGGTGGGAAGAAAGCAAGCAAGCCATGAAGCCAGGCAGGTTTAGAACCTGCATGGGAGGTCAGACATGTGGCTGACTGGCAGCCACTTGGCTGGGAGAAGGAAGCTTTAGAGAAAGGGAAGAAATACAAGATGCTAGGGCAGCCCAAAGCCTTAAAGAAAGCATATTTACTAAGAAAGGAGAGCCATAAAGAAAAGGAGAAATTATGCTTCCCTGAAGAACTCAGGGGAGCTGACAAACTCATGGACTGCATGGCTGTAGCTAGTCCACACATGCCCTTGTAGGCGGGATTCCAGGCAGGAAAAACTTGCTATCTCAATAATACGCTAAGTATTCTGCCCATCTATTTAGTATAATCCACCTTCCTAGGGGTGGTCCTATGACCGGATGATTGATTGACCAGTTAAACTTAGACAAAATGGAGGAGCTTGGGGTATTACAAAGTCAGGCGGCTCACAACCACCTGTGGCTCCAGCTCCGGGAGATCTCATTCCTCTGGCCTCGAAGGGCACCTGCACTTACATGCACGTGCCTACACATAGACACACATGTGCACATAATTTTTTTCAGGAGACTTTTCAAATCACCATGTCAGCATTCTTGCACAGAGGCTTCTTAAGCCCTGGGAAACCAGGTTGGGGATGTAGCTCATTGTGAAGAGTATTTACCTAGCATTGCATAAACCAGGTATGGTGGCACATGACTGTAATCCCAGTACTTGGGAGGAAGAGGAAGCCAAGATAGATGAGACCATGTTTCAAACAACAGCCACAAAAAGAAATGGTAAACCATGTCAAAGGAGATGAAAAAGGGAAGAAATAGTAAAAAGAAGGCAGATGCTAGAGAGAAAAAGAAAGTTGCATTACAACAGTGGTTCCAAAAATGTTGACCCCTGGGGTCTCTGAGACCTTTTCTGAGTGCTGTGAAGTTAAAAAAAAACATTGTCATAATAATACTAGATATAAGTTACTGTTTTATTGTAGTAAATAGCATAAAATGTACCATCTTAGCCCTTCTTTCTTTTCTTTTTTTCTTTTTTTTTTTTTGAGACAGGGTCTCCCTGTAGCCACAGCTGGCCAGGAACCCACTATGTAGACCAGGCTGGCCTTGAACTCACAGAGATCTGCCTGCTTCTGCCTCCCAAGTGCTGGGATTAAAGGTGTGGGCCACCATTTTTAGGTATACAGTTTAGTGGTGTTCAGAGTATTGACGTTGTTGTGAACAACACAAATACTCCGGAACTCCAAAGCTCCAGAACTTTTTCAACTTGCAAATCTGAAACTGTGCCCATTAAATAACAATTTCCCTTTCTTCTCTCCTGTCAGCCACTGGTCCCCAACTATTTTAAATTTTTATTTCTATGAATTTGATTCCTTTACATACCTCATATAAGTAGAATAAATATTTATCTTTTTATGACTGGCTTATTTCTCTTGGCATACTGTCCTGAAGGTTCATCCATGTGGTAGTATGTGAGTAGATTTCCTTTCTTCATAAAGGTGAATGAATAATATTTCATCGTATATGTGGACCACATTTTATTTATCTATTTACCCATTGCTGGATATCTGGGTTACCTTTACCTCTTGACTGTTGTCATTGTTATTTGCCTTTCAACAGGTTGACATATACCTTGATGATGTAAGAGCAAATAAAATTGGAAGTGGCTTAACACAAACCAAGATAGCAATACTAAATTATACTAGTAGCTACTGTGTTTTCCATCATACAATTGTAATGGGAAAAAAAAATCTAGTGCTCTTGATATCATTGTATTTACTGTGTGATGAGAAGTTGACATCCAGCACCTGCAAACTCAAATTGTCCTGAGGGAGAATACTTGGGCAGTCAAGCTCTGAGCAAATCTAGCTGCTTTTGTCATGGAACACTATTTTTACTCAAAAGAAGGACTGTTAGAAAAACTATTGTTTTCAGGCTTGGGTATTTCATAGCTATTTTACTTATTTTAAAAAATTTTATCTTTGCTTGGCATAGTGGCGCATGCCTTTAATCCCAGTACTCAGGAGGCAGAAGCAGATGACTTCGGTGAGTTCAAGGCCAGCCTGGTCTACATAACATGTGTATTCCAGGATAGCCGGGGCTACAGAGTGAGGCCCAGTATATAAAAACAAAACAAAACAAAACTTTTTTGCAATGTAAACTCAGGGCCTTGTGTACTCTTTAATCCCAGTACTCAGGAGGCAGAAGCAGGTGATTTCAGTGAGTTCAAGGCCAGCCTGGTCTACATAGCATGTGTATTCCAGGATAGCTGGGACTACAGAATGAGGTCCTGTATATATATATATTAAAAAAAAATCTTTTTGCAGTGTAAACTAAGGGCCTTGTGTACGCTTTAATCCCAGTACTCAGGAGGCAGAAGCAGGTGATTTCAGTGAGTTCAAGGCCAGCCTGGTCTACATAGCATGTGTATTCCAGGATAGCTGGGGCTACAGAATGAGGTCCTGTATATATATATTTAAAAAAAAATCTTTTTGCAGTGTAAACTCAGGTTCTTGTGTATGCTTTAATCCCAGTACTCAGGAGGCAGAAGCAGGTGATTTCAGTGAGTTCAAGGCCAGCCTGGTCTACATAGCGTGTGTATTCTAGGATAGCTGGGGCTACAGAGTGAGGCCCTGTATCAAAAAAAAAATCTTTTTGCAGTGTAAACTCAGGGCCTTGTGCATGCTAGACAAGCAGTCTACCACTGTGATACACTTCTAGCCCTTGGACATTTTCTTGAAAAGGAATGAAGTAGATCTATTACCATCAAAGGAGACAGATGTCAGTATTTAGTGCCAAAATAAAATTCGAACTTCCAAGTAGGAATTAGAATTTTGGTTTATTTATGTTTATTTTATGTGTGTGAATGTTTTGCCTGTGTGTATGTAAATGTACTGTGTGTGTGCAATGCCCACAGAGGCCAGAAGAGGGTGTCTTATTCCCTGGAGCTGGAGTTACAGAGGGTTGCTAGCCACCATGTGGGTGCTGGGAACTGGTCTTCTGTGAGAGTAACCCTAGTGCTCTTAACTGCTGAACCATCTCTCTAGCCATGGAAATTAGAGCTTTGGGAAGCTTATCTTTGCAACTGTGGATTTGGTAACTTTCCAACACTAAAGATTTTTATGGAAAACAGTGGTGTTGATATTAATTTTTGCTGTAGAATGAAATGTGTTAACATTAGGAAAATTTCCATAATTTGTTGGATTACTATTTTTGAGTATATGATTTTACAGAGTCATGTCTTGTTACAAAAAGCCATTCATAGTGCAAGATAAGCCAATGGATCTTAATCTAACAGAATATAAATGATTTTAAAAATTTTTTATTTATTTTTATGTATATGAGTGTTTTGCCTGCATGTATATAAGTTCACCAGTGCATGCAGTATCCACAGAGGCTAGGAGAGGGTTTCAGATCCCCTGAAACTGGAGATGGTTTTTAGCTGCCTTGTGGGTGCTGGGAACTGAACCCAGGTCCTCTGCAAGAGCAGCCAGTGCTCTTAACCACTGAGCTATCTCTCTAGCCCCATAAAAGTTTTTTGAATAGGGTTTTACTTTCCAAATTAATACTAGTCTCTTAAGAAACTCTACTTGTTTCATGTTTTAGTACAGTATAAAAACAGAGTATCTCCAGTGATCTGGAAGATTTATTAAAGATACTCTTCCTTGGTCTGGGGATGTAACTCAGTGGTAGGGTGCTTGTCTATCATTTGTGAGGCCCTGGGCTTAATCGCCACATCAAAAATAAATAAATAAAAAAAGAAAGAAAGAAAAAGAAACTTTTTTTTTTTTTTTTTGGTCTTTTTGAGACAAGGTCTCCCTGTAGCTTCAGCTGCCTGCAACTTACTCTGTGGACTCCTTATTTTTACAACTTATATGAAAGGCTGGATTTTTGTACCAATATTTTAACTAAACAGTGTATGTAACACATTGAGTGCTGAAAGCACATGTGAGAATGTTAGTCAAGATGGAAAACACATTTGCAAAACTATAAAACAATACTACTTCTATTTTTTGTTTTAGAAAGTATAGTACATATGTATGTATGTAGTGTTAATATGGAATAAATTTGTTATATCTAGGCGTATTTAAATTTTTTCTGCTTTATTTTGTAACATACTGACTATAGATAGATAGATGTATAACCCAAGCACACAAAAGCTCTTAGGGGCCCAATAGAATGTATAGGCCTTTAGTGAAGACTCAGGAACAACTGAAGGGAGTGGCAGTGCCCTTTGTGGACCTGACTCATTTCTCCTTGTCTGGCTTAGGTATTTGGCTCGGGTAGGAGACCTTGAAGCCACTAACACTGAAGACCCAAATCTGAATTATGGACTTGTGGTGGACTGCGGTAGCAGTGGCTCCCGGATTTTTGTTTACTTCTGGCCGAGACATAATGGGAACCCTCACGACTTACTGGACATCAAACAGATGAGAGACCGCAACAGCCAGCCCGTGGTTAAAAAAATCAAGCCAGGTGCTAATGAGAATCGGTTCTGTTGTTAATCCTTTCGCCTGTTGCTGTAGGCATGAGCAAGGGAAGAAGAGGAAGGAGAGAAAGCAAGCTATGCTTGTTTTCATGGGAATCCAGGTGGTAGGAATATCTCACTCATTGTCATCCTACTTCTCTAGGACCTTGAACAGAATCTTATGAATGTTGGTTTTCTGAGTCTTATGTCATCTATCTTTTTTAAAAAAGCATTTGGTTTTCTTTAAGGAATCTCAGCAATGGCAGATACTCCAGAACATGCCAGTGATTACCTTCGACCTCTTCTGAGCTTTGCTGCTGCTCATGTGCCTGTAAAGAAGCACAGGGAGACCCCCCTTTACATCCTCTGCACAGCAGGCATGAGGCTTCTCCCTGAGAGGTGAGATACAGGGCCTGGGGAAATCGAATCAACTGGCGTGGGACCAGAAAGCCAGTCCCATGCACCCAGGCTGGAGGGGGAGTCACAAATACCACAGAGTTCATAGGTGGCACCTAAAGGCTGCTTGCTCAGATATAGAGTAGAGCTGCCTCTGGACCCAGTTATTACACAGTCAGTCACATCTTTATGTCATTTGTTGCTTTGGGATCAGTACCTGTCAGGGATGGCAAAAGGGTTTTGAGTTTGGATTCAGGCTGTGGTGTCAATTGGGAATGGTGGCAATGATGATACATTTGAATCATAAAGCAGAGAGAGGGAAAATGCGTTTACAGGAAGGCAGTGGAAGGGAGGCAGACCTGAGGAACTGGATTCCCACTAGGGGCTAGCAGGAGAGCTAGGTAGCAGTGCTGCCTTCTCTGTAACTCTGCCTGGGGCCTGATAGCTACTGAGCCCTTCCCTTCCCTGCTACACAAATCTCAGCTTTCTTAGCTCCAACCAGTGAGGTCTTTCCTGCTTGAACTCAGCAGTTCAGCCCAATGTCCTGCCACCTGATCCTTCTTCCTACTTCAGAAGTGTGGGAGGAGGAAGAGGTTATATTTAGATCAGACACCTCCTTGTATGTGATTTCTCTGCCTCAACATCTCCTGGATCCCACCACAGTTGATATGGGTCTTGGATGAGAGTGGGCTCCCTGAGCTTTGTTTGGTCATGATTTTATTTTATTGGGACAACACTGAAGCAATTCGAAGGAGGAAAGATTTATTTTGGTACACAGTGTCAGAGGTTCTCATCCATAGTTGTCTGGCCATGTTGTTTCTGGGCCTGTGGTGAGATAGAACATCCTGGTAGGTGGGCTTGGTGGAGCAGAGCTGCTTATCGCATCATTGCCAGGAAGCAGAACCAGAAACAGCCCCAAGGGTATGCCCCAGTGACCTACTTCTGTTTAGCTCCTCCTCCAAAACTTTCCACCATCTCCCAATAATTCCATCACCATCACATCATGAGTCCATCAATAAATTAACCCACCGATTAGGTCAGAGTCCTCAGGATCCAGCTATGTTTCAGTGATTGGCTCCACCAGTTGGGGACCCAGGTGTCAGCACACGAACCTTTTGGGGGAGGCACATTATATCTAGGCTGTAACAAATGCTTACTATGAGATCCTGTTGACGAGCTTTTAAAAAAAGGTTTATTTTTATTTTTTAATTATGTCTATGTGTGTTAGGGAAAGGACATGGTATATGCACATGAGTGCAAGTACCCTCAGAGGCCAGCAGAGAATGTTAGATCCCTTGAAGCTGGAGTTATAGGTGGTTGTGAGCTGCCTGATGTAGGTGCTGGGAAGCAAACTCAGCTCCTCTGTCAGAGCAGTGTGTGCTCTTCACCGTTGATCCATCTCTCCAGACCCTTAATGAGTTTTTGAGTATACAGTATATGCTGTTTGCTGTGTACAATGTTGTATGACAAATCTCTAGTTTTTCTTGCTTAACTGAAGCTTTATTCCCATTTATCTTCCTTAGTATCATGTGCTCAAGGTTCATCCATGCTGTCACATATTGTAGAATTTACTTCCTTTTAAAGATTGACTAGTTAGTATCTTGTTTTCTGTGTATTCTTTTAAAAATCCACTCACCTGTCCAGGGACACTTAGGTTATTTCTCCATGTTGGCTGTTGTAAATAATGCCTTAATGAATGAAAGTGTTAGTCTGTTTTTGACATCCTTGAAATCCTGATTCAGTTCTTTTGGAATTACTCAAAAGATCCTGATACTCTTTGTGGTGGTTTGAGAAGTGTCCCCCATAGGCTCCAAGTATTTGGACATTTTGTACTACATGGCAGTACTGTTTTGGGAGGTTTTAGGAGGTATAGCCTTGCTGGAAGAAGGACATCATTGGGGCTGGACTTTGAGAGTTCTTCAACCTTGCCATATTTCTAGTCACCCTCTCTGCTTTCTGTGTTAGCTTGAAGGTGTGATCACTCAGCTTTCTGCTCTGGCCACCTCTGCCTACCATGCCTCCCCCACCATTATGGACTCTAGCCCTCTCGAATCATAAGCCAAATAAACTCTTCCCTCTGTAAGATGCTTTTGGTCACAGCAACAGAAAAGTAACTAACACACTCTTTAACTATTTGTTTATGTATGTATGTATGTATGTATGTATGTATGTATGTATCTGTTGTGTATGCTGCCACATGTATGTATTGCAGATGACAACTTGCAGGAATCAGTTCTCTTTCCCTCCATCATTTGGGCTCCAGGGATTGAACTCAGGTCATCAAGCTTGGTGGCAAGCACCTTTACCTGTAGAGTCATCTCACCAGCCCTTATATATCCATTTTTAAAAAATCTGTTTGAGACAGGGTCTCCCTGCAGTCCCAGCTGACCTGAAACTCACTATGTAGACCAGGCTGGCCTTGAACTCACAGAGATCTGTCTGCCTCTGCCTCCCAAGTGCTGGGATCAAAGGCATGTGCCACCACACCTGGCCCATTTTTTTTAAAAAGGTATCTTTGTTGTTGTTTTTCATAGCTGCTGAAACATTTTGCATTCCTACTGATAAGGGTTCCTGTTTTTCCACATTGTTGCAAACAGTTGTTGTCTCTTATTTTTCTACAGCAGTCATCCTGACAGGTCTGAAGTGATCTCTCACTGCTGCAGTGTGGATTTGCACTTCCCCGATGATGAGGACCTGGACTTTTTTCATATACTGGTTGATTATATGTCTTTGGAGAAATGTATTATCAAGGCCTTAAGTCCATTTTAAAATCAGGTTATTAGTTTTCTTTTTTTTCCTATTAAGTTCTTATAGTTTCTTTTATGTTCTAAGGATTAACCCTTCATCAGACATGTAGTTTGTAAATATTTTTCTCCATTCTGTAACTTGCCTTTCCATTTTGTTGGCTGTTTCCAGATTTTTTTCATTTTTTGAGATGGGTCTCCCTGCCCTGTAGCTCCAGCTGGCCTGCAACTTACTTCATGCTGCTATGCTGGGTGTGTCAGCCATAGCATCTAACAATACTAGGCTCAGTAGATCTGCTGCCTCTGATTGAGATTCTGGTTTACTCTGGATTACTGGTGGGATACAGATTATTGATACTGCCGTTTGTCAACATGAGAGGCCTTATAGTCCCCTGTTTATTTTCCATACATCTTAGTTTTTTACAAAGTTTTACTTTGTTTTTACTTATTTTAAAAATCAAACTTTAGCCAGGCCTGGTGGCGCATGCCTTTAATCCCAGCACTTGGGAGGCAGAGGCGGGTGGATCATTGTGAGTTTAAGGCCAGCCTGGCCTACATAGTGAGTTCCGGTCAGCTGGGACTACAGGGAGACTCTGTCTCAAAAAGACAAAAAAAAAACAAAACAAAAAAACCCAAACTTTAAATATGATAGCTGTAATCTTATATCATTAAAGGAAATCTTTTTAAAAAATAATTTATTGAGAATTTGATACATGCATATAAGGTGTTTTGATCAAATCCATGCCCACTCCTTCCCCTCCAGTACCTCCCATATCTCCCCATCATTTTTTTCTGATAACTTCATGTACTCTTTCTTCTTCTTTGATTTTTTTTTTTTTTTAAATGGGGATTTTGGCTACTCTAACATTCTTCCTTTTGAAGAGGTAACCCTAAAATCTCTTAAGGATTAGATAAAAGGTCCCAAGTATTTTCAACATTTTTGGCCTTAAGAGCGGAGTAGGTTGCTAAGAGGCCCCAGGACATTGTGAATTTTAGCCAAGAAACTGGCTACTTTTCTTTGGGATCTTTTTACCCTAACTGCTTAGCCAATTCCTACCTCCTATTCTTATCACACCATCCTCTGAAGAGGTACCCAAATTGCCAATAGGGAATTGGGATGTAGACCACTCTGACTTCTTCCATGCTGAACAGGGTTGCAGGGTGAGGCAATTGGAGTACCCCTTCAGTGGGTCTATCTAAAAGACTCCCAAATTGCATAACTCTTATCTCTAGGAGGAAAAGAAAGTCTTTGAATCGTGAATAGGAGGAGATGTGAAGGAAAAGTAAAGGCAGGAATAATTAGCATTACAAGTTCTAGACAGGGAACTAGAAAAAAGTCAGAACAGGGCAATTTTCAAATGTTCATATGAGAGTCCATTGGAATTTCCTGACAAGGGCTTCCAAAAGCATTGCTCTATTGGGTTCCTCTTCGTTTTTCTTTTGTCTTCCAAGGCTGGACTCAGAATTTGCTTTCAGGTATTTTGATAGCTGTTGGAGTGGTTAGAATCAGTGTCAGCTGCCTCTCAAAGGCTTCTAGATTGGGGGAGACAAATTTATCCATCATTTTAGAATAATAGCTGGTTGTCTCCCTTAGCTACAGGTGGACACTACAGTATTGAAGACCAAATTTGAAGTCTTACATTTGAGCAGCACTTTCTGGTTAGGAACAAAATCATCAATGAGAAGTAATTGCCAAATAACCTTTTTATTGACTTAAGCCTAATGTCTGGGAAGTGGGAAGTGTAATCCCTTGAACTCTTAAAGAAATATACTGATCACTTTACTCTATGGTTATACTTTCATTTAAGACGATAAAAGTGGACCAAATAAATCAATTTATTTTTACACTTAAGGTCATTTGAGGATCTGTTCCTCAGGGGTCACATGGGCTTGGGAGG